CGTGTGCTCTTCCGATATGTGGTTTCTCCAATAGACCTAATCCATTCTCTTTTTTTAATACATGAACTATTTAAAATGCGGTCCTCCCTCTTGAATAGCTTTTAGAATATTAATATTTAAATTAACATTTTTATCTTGAATAATTTTTGAGAAAACATAATACTTAAATTTTTTTTCTTTTAATGACCTTTTTTGCTTCAATGTTGAATAACTCGGTGAAAAAAAATTGTACAACACTCAACAAAAAAGCAAATTAAAGAAAAAGATTCATTCTTTTGAAAACTGTACACCTCGTTTTTACGCGATTTTTATTTCGGGCCGTGGAACTTTGCAAAGTTAGGAAAAAATTTTGCGATTGTCATATCTCTATTTGTATCAATGCGAATCCGAAGAAAGTTATAATAGTTAATCGTTTTCTAAAGTTGAAATCAACTTGAAAAATGGAGATTTCAAGCTGTAAAATGCTTTTTTAAAAATCTCATTACAATAATTTTTGACAAACTTGCTCTATCTTGAATTTTTAGAAATTATCGATATATTAACGCATTGTCCGGACAATTAGTTTGGTGACTGTAAGTATATATACACTGCCGTCGAAAAGTTTCGGAGTATAAGTCCGGAAAATTCGATGTCCAGATCCAGCCTTTGTAATTTTGAGTCCACTAAAGTCTGTTTTTCTTGTTCTAGCGACGGAGAAGCGATTTTTTTGGTGAAAACTGCATCAAAAACTGGTTTTGTACAAACGATTCATCAGTAGTTACCGATCTGGTCATGATTTTTATTAAATCACAATTGAATTTCCGGTGCGGTAAGCTTTTTTTTATTTTTGACATTAAAACTAGAGACTTATCCTCTGATTTGAAAGTAACTCGAGGCTTTCGAGTGTGAGCCTTTATTACAGCCGGTTATTAAAATTGATTTTTTGGAAACATGAAATAGTATCTTTTATGGTGAACCGCAGTACATTTAATTTTATGTGTGTATGTAAATAATTTTGGTATATCATGAAGTCAAATACTGCTGAAGAGAAATACTTACAAGAAGTCTCAAGAAGCCGCGAGAAGACAAGTGTGGGTATTCCGGAAACTTTTCGACGGCAGTGTATATATATATCCGTGGAAAAAAGACATTAAAAATGTAAAAAAACCGCCAAGTATATTTTTTAACGTTTTTACCTCGAAAAAAATTGTATCAGATTGAAAAAATCGGAAGAGCACACG